CTCTCTCTCTCTAATTTCAATACAATGTTCTCTTTGGAGATCGGTTCGATGTAATCCTTTTGTAGTGTCTTTGTTGGGATTCAATGAATTGTGGGTTTACGATCAGATTATTCATTTAAAGTAATTAAGTCTTTTCTGAACTTTATGTGTGATTTTAGAGCTATGTTTGTTTTGCGATCTATGAGGTTTCTTTGGCCAACTTGACAACCCTCTTGCCCGCGTTGGGTGCAAGTATTTGTGTGTGTGTGTGTGTGTGCAAGTACCATTTACATTTTTTGCATGGGTCTCCTACTGGTTCGATAAACCTTCATTCTTAACTGCAAGAAATATTATCTGCTACTGTACATCACGCTTCCTCTTCGGGGAAATCTCAATGCCTATCACAAGTAGCAGATGAATTTATGGTGCCGTTGCCACGGAGATTTCATCAAACAAACGCATGTCCCTTCACACATACTTACCATTTGCTTGTTCTACTTTTTATTTGGTTTTATTTGCCTTTCTCAGTGAAAAAAAATCAAAGGCCTAGTTGTACACGTCTGCGACAGTAGGGGGGGGGGGGATCGTCGGAGCCGTCAGTGACATCGGAGGAAGAAGAGGAGATGGTGTGGCCCTTCATCCTCCAGATGATGCGGTCCTGCTTCTTCTTGAGCTTGGACACTCTGGCCGCCTCCACCACTACCTTCGCTGCCTCACGTACGGACTGCTCGAGGCCCAGTCAGAGTACCTTTGTGTTTTTCCTCCTGAGCCGGTGGACATCTTTCTCCACTGTTGTAAGTTAACTGCGGTAGACCCACACGAGGAGTCGCTCCTCCTTGTCGGGCAGCCCGCGGCGGCGACGTGATGACTGTGCGACCACCTCCAACTAGTGCAATCTCTCGGGTTTAGTAATCGAACGCCTCGCTTGGGTTTAGTTAAAGCACAACACCTCGCACACACGCGCGTATGTATACGAGAGAAATGCGCAAACCACAGTGCACCGCTCGGCTCCGACCATCCACTGTAACCGGAAAACTCCCTGAAATTTTCCTCCCCTTTACTTCTACCATGATTTTTTCCGTCATGGATGGCCCAAAGAATGTCATGCAGGTGAATCTCCAGCCCATCCAGGACGGAAAACCTATTTTCTGTCATGATTTTCTCTCACAGAAGTAGGAGCCCACCACATCTACGATAATACGTGTTTTTGTCACAATTATCGTCATAGAAATGTCATAACCATGACACACACAAAATTCATTCGGCCCATAATGTCACAAATGTGTCTTTTTTAGTGCACTCACACGCCCTGTATCACTGCAAACTCCCATTTCATGTACCAGGCGAGCGATGAGATGATAGCCCTACTGAAGGAGATAAATGCTCGGTGCCTCTCGCACCTTGCAACTGCATGCAGACACATCCAGCTTGAGATGATGAAGTTTGCTGACAATATATTTGATGCATGTAACCACATTTGCACATGTTGTGCAGCACGCGGCTTTGCCCATGGTTTGGGCACGGTATTCTCGAATGCACTGACAAGATTTAGGCACGGTGTTTTGCTCGGTGTAGCAGCACCTTTCCTCAGCCTGCAAGCGGAGCCAACTCACATATTAACTGCCCAAGGTTCGGCAAGCATGACTATGGGGTAAAAAAGAATTATAGCCTACTGACTGCATGTAAATCCCTAGTTGTTCTACTCCACTCATCGGAACTTTCATGTACATACCTAGTTTTACTGATTGCGAGTATAAATCCAACACTAAGTTACTGCAAACACCTACTAATGGCAGGGATATTCCTCTCCTCAAATGTTCTTTCTTTTGCAGCCCTAAATTAATGACTGCAAGAACAACTCCACCACTAACCTCTTACTCCATCCAGGCGCCCGGGGATTCATCAACTTTGACGTCGGGGGTGAGCTCTCTCTCCTGTACGTGGCTGCCGCTACCTTGGCCGCCTGCCGTCAAGATCTGAGCTTCGGCGCTGTCCATTGCCCGTTCCTGCTCCACCACCTCCTGCTCCACCACCATATTGCCTCCCGTCGCCGCTGCCAGCATAGAGGGCGGCACCAAGCTCTCCGCGACTTCCTCTAGGAAAGTGGATCTGATTCAGACCGAAAGCAAATCTTGTCAATCACTAAATCCAAGGGACTCCATGGTGCCTCGCCGCCGGCGCTCCTTCTCTCTATGACCCAGTCCCCAGCTCCCAAATGACCTCCGCCCTAATGGCAGCCAATTTTCTGCGTGAACCCACCGAATGGAAAGTGAATTTCCTTTTTTAGACAAGATCTGGTCCACATATCAGATGGGTACGTCGATTCCGACCCACGACCCACCTCGCCAGACGCTACCATGCCGTTAAAATAAGGCCCGCCAACCCCCCCCGGTCAGGTATGTATTTCTGAACAGTATCCATATTCTAACACCCCACCTGCGCCAGATGGACCACATCCACATGTGTTACTCAACGTCCTGGATTCCGAGCTCATTTGAGCTCGAGCCCAGTAACTCCACGTCCAACAAAGGAACAAACGTTACTTTATTCCTTTTTCTAACTCAACACTTATTCTTGAACTTACAAATTATTTTACCACAGAAGTGCAACAAAACAGCAGTACGTACTACAGATGCTTTTTCACATGAAGGATGCCTCCTCGGGCGTAACGCTGGTTATGTTGCGCGCCCTCCTCGGGCGTCAAGATCCCGGAGTTTGATGTCCGTCTTCACGTAGCCGGGGTGCGCGCAGTTGACGCGCAGCTCCGGGTGCCTCTTGGCCAAGATCCTCGAGTAGGCGTTCATTGCGGCCTTGGCCACCTTGTACGCCGAGAACTCGGCCGGCCACCCGCGCGCCTCCACCCCGCCGCTCTCGAAGTCCTTGAGAAACATGGCCAGCAGCTCGTCCAGCCTCTCCTCGGCCAGCTCCTTCGGCTCGTCTTCCTTCATTTCATCGTGGATCGCTGTTGCTCTGCCTGCAGATCTGCGTCCCCAGTGTCCCCGACATCCTCCTTCGGCTCCTTGTCTTCCTCCATCTCATCCTCCTCCTCCTTGTCGTCAATATCGTCCTCCACCACCTCCAAGTCCTCCTCCGGATCCACCGTGTCCGGAGGTAGCCCCGCGACGATCCGGGCTTCACGCTTTGCCCGGATCTGCTCAAGGAGCTGCAGTTGGTGCTCCGGCGTTAGATATGGGTAGCTCCTTACCCGGCGGCGTGGGGGCATGGTTAATAGTGGTGGCGGACAGCGATTGGAAAGTGCGGTGGCTGCGGACGGGAGGAAAATAATATGAATGGGTAGGGTTTCGATGCCGGCGGTCGGCTTCACTAGGCGGGCTAGGAAATATGAGGCCCATCGGAATGGCGGCATGCGGCGTCATCGGTCCGATGGAGGAGACGAGCTTCGGACTGCTGGGCTGACTGTTTTTCTATGGTACCCCATCGTCAGTCCGACGTGACGAACGTGCCCAAGTCTTCTCGTATCCAGCTCAATTTTGGGTTGGATATGAGGGATGCCGATCAGCCTGAGCATTTGAGGCGTCCGTCTGGGTCGCTTTGACTGAGCCGTTCGTCCTGTCATTTGAGACGGGTTTGGGGCGTCTGGGTGTGATGCTCTGAATAGCTAGTGATTTCCTCACTCCCATTTCCCGTGAGATTAGCGTAACTTTGATTTAAGAACTTCTTGGGATGGAGAGTCTTCATAATTTGGATTGGTTTTCCTTTTACTTTGACTACCTATTGCTAAAATTATGCGCCAGCCACCGGTCACGGGTGCTTTCCCCGTACAACAGTTTTCACATCACAATTACGCAGTGACGTCCCCTCAAAAAAAAAAAATTAGACAGTGACATCTTCCATCACATGCGTAATCCAAACAAACGTAACTTTATTCCTTTTTTTAACTCAACATAGCCTTATTCTTGAACTTGCATATCATTTTACCACATAAGCGCAACAAAAATACCTGGCTAGGGAATAACCCACTAATGATGCAATATCCGAGCTTGTATAGGATTGTTAGACATAAATTTGTCACAATCAAACAAGTTTTAGGACAAGAAAATCCTGATATTTCTTTCTGTAGGGACCTTTTTGGCCCTCGTCTGGCAGCGTGGAATGAATTACTCACTCGCCTGGAGGACATTCAACTGTCAGGTGAGCCGGCCATTTTCTGATGGAACTTGCATCAGAATGGCAAATTTTCAGTCAAATCCATGTATGATGCAATGGTTCATTGTGATGTTCCAGTTGATAACAGGAAATTGTGGAAGCTCAAAATTCCTTTAAGAGTGAAGATTTTCCTCTGGTTTCTTAACAAAGGAGTCATCCCAACTAGAGACAATCTGGTACAACGAAACTGGCATGGTTCCAAGACATGTGTCTTTTGCCAACATGACGAGTCTATTAAACACTTATATTTTGACTGCAAGTTCGCTCGGGCAGTTTGGGCCATAGTTCAAGTAGCTTCGAATCTATACCCACCACGTAGTGCACGAAACATTGTTCGGCAACTGGTTGCGGGGTATTGATAAATAATTTTCTGCACATATTCTTGTGGGAGCAGCGGCCTTATGCTGGGCACTGTGGCTTACCAGGAATGTGTGATTTTTAATAACAAATGTGTCTCATCTCCTATGCAGGTTATTCATGTGTGTACACGATGGCTCCGTACTTGGTCTATCCTGCAGAGGCCGGAGGACAGAGACCTTTTTATGATGGCGTCTACACGGCTGGAGCGTACGGCCAGGGAGGTTTTCTACCACCATGGATGGCGGTGTGACCTACGGATAGGATCTGCCACTCCTTAGGCTGGACATTTTTTTTGATTGGCGTTGTATCGAATTATCTTTTTGCTTTTAGGGTACTCTGGACTTTTTTGGCTGTGTGCATCTAGCTATGCAGAGGCCGGGCTTTCTTTCCATGCGATTGTATCACATCGATATATTTATTCAATGAAATGTCATTTATTGAAAAAAGTGCAACAAAACAGTAGTACTCCTACGTAGTATATTACAGATGCTTTTTCACACGAAGGATGCCTCCTCGCCTTCGGAGAAGTACTTGCCGGTGGGCCCGCCTTCCGGCAGCAGCGCAACGCTCGTGATGTTGCGCGCGCCCTCCTCTGGCGTCAGGATCCCGGAGTTCCTGGTGATGTCCGTCTTCACGTAGCCGGGGTGCGCGCAGTTGACGCGCAGCTCCGGGTGCCTCTTGGCCAGGATCCTCGAGTAGGCGTTCATGGCGGCCTTGGCCACCTTGTACGCCGAGAACTCCGCCGGCCACCCGCGCGCCTCCGCCCCGCCGCTCTCGAAGTCCTTCAGGAACATGGCCAGCAGCTCGTCCAGCCCCTCCTCGGTCAGGTTGTCGACGTCGTTCAGCTCCTGCTTCAGCTCCTCGTTCCTGAAAAACTGCGGCCGGAAAGGAAGAAAGTTGGCGTCGAATCATGACCTCTTTTTTGTTGCTGTTGGAGGAACTTATTTGTGGTGCGTGGTGATCCACGCATGATGCTTACGCTTAGCAATCCGAAGTTGGAGGAGACGTTGACGATCCTTCCGTCGGATGAGGATCGGAGCAGGGGCAGGAGAGCCTCCGTCACCCGCTTTGTGCCGTAGTAGTTTGTCTGCAGGCCCTGTTTCGCAGTCTCGTACGTCTGCCGGCAGCTGGTCCACATCCAATCGATCCTCTGGCCCGCATCCATGCCATTGAACTGTTGTGGTATGAACCCATGGAGGAAAATGACATGCTTTCAGTGTCGTATGTACCAAGTGGTGCTTAAGGATAATTTTGAATAGATGATACCACACTGATTAGTTAAGCAACCGCGTGGCAAGCCTGGTAGGCGACCCCGAATCTTTATATCAACAATAGTCGACTAATTATGGGCTTGACATGACATGTTGATGGGTCAGTGATAATCTTATATGCTCCTGAAACTAAATTGCGCAGATGTTTAAAATTGTACGGTTGGCAGTACTCTGAAATGGCGCTCTTTTTTCCCACTTTGGGGGAGAGCAATGAAACAATTTTTTTTCCTTCTATAACAAAAAGGGGAAACTATTGAAACAGTTTGATCTTCCCACAAGCTAAACACTCGAAAATAAACGTCGAAATGGCGTTGTTACCGTTTCATCACCGGGCGTTAAGCCATAAACTGGATCAATGACATGCTCAATCCCATCAGTTGCGGCGTTATTCACCTGTGGATCACACGCTTGTTATCATCCACTTATCATACCAAGGTTCAATCAAAAATATTATTCATTATTTTGCTACTCGTTTTGTAGTAGATCAGTGACAATTAATATGAATCGGAGGGACTGAAAAAAAATGTAATACTGCAGCCCCTAAACAAGCTAGAGACTATGCTCCGGAATAGTATGACAGTGACAGATAACAGCTTCTCGTCAGGTGTCTTCTACGGTGGCAGCCAGACTAGGGAAGTCCAGATCGTGGCTGTATGAGGCATCGTATGTGTCAAGCATGTCCAGATACCATGGCTGGACGGTAGCCAGGCATATACCCTACATCGGCTGCTTTGGTGCATGGAGCCGTCAGATGGCCTTCTGGGCTCTTGATGGCGCGAGCAACCTTGCAGTGTGGTGCGACCTCACACCGGCTGCTCTCGATAGCCGACGTACAGATGTAACAGCCAGCGTCTTCGTCGACGGCATCTTACATGGGCATGGTAACTGGACGCCGCGACTAGTCCGGTGTTGTTGACGAGGACGCCATAGCAAGAGGCGATGCATGATGGTGTCTTCTGCAGACCTGCCACCGGCATTCACTTGCTAGGACGACGTGAGACTGCTGAAGCGTCCCGATCTGGGATTTTGACGGTGCCGTTGCCCTTCCTTCCTCGTTAATGACCTTATTCCGTTCGTAACACTGCTGGGATTGCGGAAAGTGGAGGTGGCAACACATGATGACTTGGATGGGTGGTGCTTTTTGAGTACTTGGTTTCGAGCTCCGGGGTTACTACCCTAGGTCTGACCCTTACTGGTTATACCTGGCAATGGCGGTGTTTGCGCCGTTACCTTGTTGAAGGCATTGCTTGGAATTTGCTCGGACATAATCTTCAGGGTGAAAACCCATGATCTAACATTCAATGGTTGGATCCGGTGACGGCGGCGCTTGCACGTCGTTCCCTTCCTGGAGGCGTCGCTTGAAGAACCTTTCTCGTAGTCCTTGTGTTATGAAGAGATGGTTGGTGTTGATGGTTATTTTTTTCTTTTGTTCACCTATGCATAGCTTCGGTCTTATATGACTTTGCCTTTGCTAGTGTGATTCTTTTTGTGTGTGTGTTAGTGTTGGCTGTGTGCATCATAGTTATGCAGAGGCCGGGTGTGTTCTCATTGTGTTCTGTATCCCCTTGATGCTACATTATGAGTCAATAAAAACACCCTTTATCAAAAAAGATAATAAACTGCCCAAAAGAGGAAAAACATACCAGGATGTCAAGCTTCGCGAAACGGGTCTTGATGAAATCTGCGAGTCGAGCGATGCTGGAAGCATCCGTGATGTCTAGCTGATGAAAGATGACATCTGCGTGGCCCAGCCGTTTGATCTGCTCGACCGCCGCCGTCCCCCTCGCCTCATCCCTGGCCGTCAGAACAACGGTGATGGCGCCGCCGCCTGCCAGCTGCTTGCACGCCTCCAGCCCGATCCCTTTGCTCCCGCCGGTGACCACAGCAATCCTAGCAACGCCAGCACATAGCGGTGGAGTTCAGATTTTAGCGAGATTAATCGACAAGAAGAAACACATGGAGATACGGCATGTAGTATGTACCTTGTGTTTGAGGGAGCGGGAGTGGGAGTGGCCCCTTCCATGATCAAGCTTCCGGTTCGGAATAGCACTGCAGAGTTGCAAATCGAACTTCCTCACAGATCAAACCTGAACTTGGATCCAAGAGCGTGAGCTCCCACAGATGAGACCAAACCCTGATGGAAGAAGGAGTCGGCGAGGCCGTGCCCGTCTAGCACTAGCAGCCGAGGTGGTTAGGTCTCAGGTGGCGTCGCGAGCTGGAAGGGTGTGAGGAAGCGCGGTGGTCGGCCCGCAGCTTTTTAGAGCAAAAGGATGAGATGTGGGGGCGAGAGGGGAATGGTGGACCGGCCGTTGACCACTATCGATGCCACCACCTACTGCGCCAACGAGTATTACTAGTACAAAAGGGGGAAAGACCAACGCGGCAAAGCGGGCGCGTCGTTTTACATACGCAGAACAATCACCAGGCTGAGGCTACAAGTATCAGGGGCGCGTTTGGTTGCTTGGGTGAGCCGAGCCTAGAGGAGTAAAACGAGTCAGGCTAAGTGGAGACAGGTTGAGCAAATACAGGGTAAAAATCGATGTTTGTGTGTTGATTGGTTGCCTGTATGAGAGGTTTTGTCATCGGAAACCAATTTCGACCCGGTGTTTGGTTGTCTGGCTCTCATGATGACTACTCCCTCCATTCCTAAATATAAGTCTTTGTAGAGATTACACTAGATGGACTACATACGAAGCAAAATGAATGAACCTACACTTAAAATACATCTATATACATCCGTATGTGGTTCGTAGTGAAATTTCTACAAAGACTTATATTTAGGAACGGAGGGAGTAGTAGTTAACAACTACATTTAAACTAGAGCACCTCTGCTAACACCATATATAGCCTTGTTGAGTTATATCTTATATGTAACTAAGTAAATATGTAATTCGTGGAGGACTGGAGTGTAAGAATCACAATATTAAGAGAAAAGGGGCTCGCTCGAACAGAGCAGAAGGTCTCAGAGTTTTTCCCCATGTTCTTCCGGTCAAATCCCTAGAACTCGAATCCAAATATCTCCAAATCTCAACATGGCATCGGAACGGGTTGATCCTGCGTGATCTCGCTGCGGTTTGGTCAAGCACGATGCGGTGTTGCCGTGATTCGCGGGTGGAGCTAGCGCCGCTTGTGTCGTGGTCGCCGTCGTCGGCCGTGAGGTGCCGTAGAGCGCAGTCGTCGGCTGCGAGGTACTGTAGTGCGCTGTCGTCGCCTTAGTTTTCTTCTGGAGGTTGCGGCAAGGTCCACCGCGAGTGTCAGTCTGTTGTATCCCGTCGCAGTCGCCGACCGGTGCATCTTGTTGTCGCTGAAAAAAATTGCTTGGTGCTGTTGTGTCTTCATCAAGCTGTCTCTATCCAAGAAGTGAGCTAGCTAGCTGGATGTCCGATTGATGCAAGGTTAGGCTGTTCCATGTGATTTGGCTCAGGTGTGCACTACAAGTACAGTTCATCCTTTGTTTTGATGTCCGTATAAGTGTGTTGTGTTTTTCTAGAACCTGAGTGTTTGGTGAACTAGTGATCTGGTCATGACCTGATTGTATGGGAGATAAAATTAAAGATAAGATGGGAGATGCCAGTGTAGACAAACTATGTGAGAGTATGCAAAAATTATTTGCCCAGCTTGTTAAGCAATCCCAGCAAAAATCTAAAGGAACCATCACTTTGGAGCCTAACCCGGTCAGGCTTTCTGGACCTGGAAATTATTTCAGTTGGTCACGGCATGCTACTCTGATTCTAGGATCTCATGGCCTCAAACATTTTTTGGACGGCACTTCTAGGAAACCAGATGATAAATTGGAGTTGGAGCAATGGGAACAGAATGAGCAGCGTGTTACGGTGTGGTTGTTGGGGTTGATGGAGCCTTCGGTCCATGAGCAGGTTGAGAACCTGCAAACTACAACAGAAGTGTGGAAGGAAATTGGACAGCAACTCTCTGGCAAAACAAACAAGATGCAAGTGACAAGGGTGCTCCATGAGATGAGAAACCTTAGAGAGAGGTCTATAACAGATTATGCTGGTGAACTGAAAAGGTTATACAGAGACCTTGAGTTCTTTCGTCCTTTCAAGTCTAATGATCCAAAAGACTTGGCTCTTCTTCGTGAATGGTTTCAGCCCATTCGTGTTCAAACTTTTTTGGAAGGGCTAAACCAAGAGTTTGATCTTCTAAGAAAAATGATCTATTCAGCTCCGGATTGGCCCACCCTTGATGAAGCAGTATCTAGTGTTCTCAAAGAGGAGACTCGGTTATCAAACCAAGTCGTGACCCCACATGCAAGTGTTGACACTCGTGTTGCTCTCTCTTCACAGGCTCATACTGAAGGAAATATGCCCTAGAGGCAATAATAAAGTTATTATTTATTTCCTTATTTCATGATAAATGTTTATTATTCATGCTAGAATTGTATTAACCGGAAACATGATACATGTGTGAATACATAGACAAACATATAGTCACTAGTATGCCTCTACTTGACTAGCTCATTAATCAAAAGATGGTTATGTTTCCTAACCATAGACATGTGTTGTCATTTGATTAATGGGATCACATCATTAGGAGAATGATGTGATTGACATGACCCATTCCGTTAGCCTAGCACTTGATCGTTTAGTATGTTGCTATTGCTTTCTTCATGACTTATACATGTTCCTGTAACTATGAGATTATGCAACTCCCGTTTACCGGAGGAACACTTTGGGTGCTACCAAACGTCACAACGTAACTGGGTGATTATAAAGGAGTACTACAGGTGTCTCCAAAGGTACATGTTGGGTTGGCGTATTTCGAGATTAGGTTTTGTCACTCCGATTGTCGGAGAGGTATCTCTGGGCCCTCTCGGTAATGCACATCACTATAAGCCTTGCAAGCAATGTAGCTAATGAGTTAGTTATGGAATGATGTATTACGTAACGAGTAAAGAGACTTGCCGGTAACGAGATTGAACTAGGTATTGGATACCGACGATCAAATCTCGGGCAAGTAACATACCGATGACAAAGGGAACAACGTATGTTGTTATGCGGTTTGACCGATAATGATCTTCGTAGAATATGTGGGAGCCAATATGGGCATCCAGGTCCCGCTATTGGTTATTGACCGGAAACAAGTTCTAGGTCATGTCTACATAGTTCTCGAACCCGTAGGGTCCGCACGCTTAACGTTTCGTTGACGATATAGTATTATATGAGTTATGTATGTTGGTAACCGAATGTTGTTCGGAGTCACGGATAAGATCATGGACATGACGAGGAACTCCGGAATGGTCCGGAGATAAAGTTTGATATATGGGATAATAGTGTTTGATCTCCGGAAGAGTTCCGGAATTCACCGGAAGGGGTTCCGGATGTTTCCCGAAATGTTTGGGAACGAGAACACGTTATTTGGGCCAAAAGGGAAAGCCCACAAGGTTTTTGGAAAGTGCAAAAGGAAGTTTTGCGGAGTCCAGGGGCCAGACGCCAGGGTCCCTGGCGTCTGGGTCCAGACGCCGGGAACCCTGGCGTCTGGCCCTGGAGTCCGAGAAGGACTCTTGCCTTTCGGGTGAAACCGACTTTGTGGAAGCTTTTACTCCAAGTTTTCGACCCCAAGGCTCAACATATAAATAGAGGGGCAGGGCTAGCACCAAAGACACATCAAGAAACACCAAGCCGTGTGCCGGTAACCCCGTCCGCTCTAGTTTATCCTCCGTCATAGTTTCCGTAGTGCTTAGGCGAAGCCCTGCGGAGATTGTTCTTCACCAACACCGTCACCACGCCGTCGTGCTGCCGGAACTCATCTACTACTTCGCCCGTCTTGCTGGATCGAGAATGCGAGGACGTCATTGAGCTGAGCGTGTGCAGAACTCGGAGGTGCCGTGCGTTCGGTACTTGGATCGGTCGGATCGTGAAGACGTACGACTACATCAACCGCGTTGATAAACGCTTCCGCTTAGCGATCTTCAAGGGTATGAAGATACACTCCCCCTCTCGTTGCTATGCCATCACCATGATCTTGCATGTGCGTAGGAATTTTTTTGAAATTACTACGTTCCCCAACAGTGGCATCAGAGCCTAGGTTTTATGCGTTGATGTTATATGCACGAGTAGAACACAAGTGAGTTGTGGGCGATACAAGTCATACTGCTTACCAGCATGTCATACTTTGGTTCGGCGGTATTGTGAGATGAAGCGGCCCGGACCGACATTACGCGTACGCTTACGTGAGACTGGTTTCACCGTTACGAGCACTTGTGCTTAAAGGTGGCTGGCGGGTGTCTGTCTCTCTCACTTTAGCTGAATCGAGTGTGGCTACGCCCAGTCCTTGCAAAGGTTAAAATAGCACCAACTTGACAAACTATCATTGTGGTTTTGATGCGTAGGTAAGAACGGTTCTTGCTCAGCCCGTAGCAGCCATGTAAAATTCGCAACAACAAAGTAGAGGACGTCTAACTTGTTTTTGCAGAGCATGTTGTGATGTGATATGGTCAAGACATGATGCTATATTTTATTGTATGAGATGATCATGTTTTGTAACCGAAGTTATCGGCAACTGGCAGGAGCCATATGGTTGTCGCTTTATTGTATAAAATGCAAACGCCCTGTAATTGCTTTACTTTATCTCTAAGCGGTAGCGATAGTCGTAGAAGCAATAGATGGCGTAACGACAACGATGCTATGATGGAGATCAAGGTGTCGCGCCGGTGACGATGGTGATCACGACGGTGCTTCGAAGATGGAGATCACAAGCACAAGATGATGATGGCCATATCATATCACTTATATTGATTGCATGTGATGTTTATCCTTTATGCATCTTATCTTGCTTTGATTGACGGTAGCATTTTAAGATGATCTCTCACTAATAATCAAGAAGTGTTCTCCCTGAGTATGCACCGTTGCGAAAGTTCTTCGTGCTGAGACACCACGTGATGATCGGGTGTGATAGGCTCTACGTTCAAATACAACGGGTGCAAAACAGTTGCACACGCGGAATACTCAGGTCATACTTGACGAGCCTAGCATATACAGGTATGGCCTCGGAACACGGAGACCG